TAGTAGTACTAGTATGAGGAGAAGGAAGTATTGGTGGACATTGGATACTAGGAACAAAGCTTCAGGGCCAGCAGGGGGGATAAAGTATGGCTTTAGTTTGACAAGTTTGGGGTGGAGACAAAAAAGTGTATGACTCTCTCCTTTATTTATGATGCTTGGTATAAGGGATACTTTTGGAGAACAGTGAGACCATGGAAAGCTCTATTGCTTGTTTGCTCCAACATAGCAATATATGAAAACAGAAAGWTTTGAAACAAGGAGGCTYCTAAAACCACRGGAAATAAGAGCCTGAATTTAGACCTAGATCTGAGATCCAATGCTGAGAAATGTGGTCCATAAAAAGATGATGCCAACTGATGTTAGTCTGATAGTACTAGTGTTTTGCCAGCAGATGGAGATTCTTGGAGTTTTATTTTGGAGTACTAACACAGCAGGTACTATCAAACCAGTCTGCAAAACAGTTGGCCAAGGTTCCAGTGGGAATAGTTAGGAACCCAATACTAGTTGTCAGTGYCTTCCTCAAAGACAAGAGCAGACAGTATCATTCCAGTCCCAGTAATTTCAGCTAGCATGGGAAAAATGGAAGATATGGATATTGTCATTCTTACAGGAACAATGATGTGGAAGTTATCAAGACGAACTTCACATCAAGTACTGGAATCTTGGAAAATACCAGGTACTACTACTACCGACTACCACCACCACCACTACTACTACTATAAAGTTGAATTTTCAAAATAATAGGGACAGGGAAAATTCATAGTTAGATTGTTGCTGCTTGTGTTTTGACACTKAAAATCTGTGCATTCATCTAGTAATTAATTAAAGGAAAGGAGGGACTCCAAGGGAAGATTGGCAAGAATAGCTGCAACAAGTACCACATACAAGATCCCAATGCAACCAATAAGAACAATAAAGAGTAGTTCATATGCTTATAGTATCAGGGTTCTGGAAAATAAAAGTAATTGTTCATTCAACTCAAACCAGTGGGATGGGGAGACTCTTCTTCTTGTCAACAACAAGGGACATTCCTAGCTAGTATCAAGGCAGCAGATAAAAATACTATGCTGAAAGACTCCTAACTTACAAACTTGAGGACTTTACTTGTCCACTTAAAGTCAGTACTACTAGTAGTTACATAGCTTACTAGTACATATAAAGCTTGCCATCTAAATTATAATAGATCTAATGTTATACCATGATGCATGGGAAAATTAGATGTGCATGCTCATTGTTGAAATTAGCA